CCCTCTCCCCCCCCTCTCCCCCTCTCTGGTGTAGGAGCGTGTTAATCCCATTACACGTGTGTGAATACCAGCTGGAGGAGAGAGTGGGGGAGTCGGGGGGGGAGGGCTGTGAACACAGAGTGTTTTTGTCCCAGTCAGAGTGACTGCACACTATACCACTGTCTGCCTGAAGGGGGACCCCCCTCCCCTCCCCCCGACTGTAATGTCATGAAGTTTATGGTAACATCACGTAATGAAAGGACACGTTGGAGGTTTTTTATTCTGCAGCTCAGAGAACGTTTTGTTCCAGAGACTTCCATCCTGTCAAAAACTGTCAACGAGTCCCAGTTTTTACTGAAAGACGCGTCGTCTGAGGGGAAACACAACAACAAACGTCTCTGAGCGGCAACAAGACAACTTTTCACCCTCAAGTCCACGTCGACGACAACACCATTGATTCAAACACAATAATAAATATTTTTATGTTTCTACGTTTAGTCGTACACTTTTATCTTAAGGTAACCACTGACTAATGCTAACTATTTTAGCATTAGCTGTTCTGACTATTTTAAGGCTGTTTACGGTAATAAAAATAAAATTGAGAGCTGAATTATAATAACCCTTTACTGTTGAGTGACTGTCAACAAACACAGAAGAGCTAAATGTTAGCTTTTTGGCTAACTTTTAGCACTAACTTTTAGCTTTTTTCAACAACGTTTTATTATATTTAGATCATCTTTAGCCTGTTTTGCTCCTGGCTTGAATCTTGAATCTTGGTCTTTATATGATAGCGTACGGCTACTTGTAGGAATATTTCATCTAACTCTTAGCTTGCCCCTTGAGGCTAATGTTCGTACTACAGGACAGCCTGGTCGGAACTAACTTTACAGGAACACAAAAGCTGTCATTGACAAATTTCAAGGCCAGTTCCAGGTATTTCCAGGCCCTTTTTTGCTCCGACCCTGGGTTCCTTTCTGACCCTGGCGCAGCGCCACCATGTGAACAAACAGCGACTGAACACACGATCCAGGTCTTAACGCAGGGGGAGACGGTGTAAGGCCACGGTCGGTCCTTGGAGAGGAAGAGCGACTGCAGAGAGGAATGTGAGGTTACCTCTGATCTGATCTGATCTGTGGCCCGGAGCCAACGCTGGTACAGAGAGAAGAGAGGAAGAGGAGGAGGAAGAAGAAGAAGAAGACGGAGGTCAAGTGATTGAAAAGAGAGAGGGGAGCAGCTTTAGGGGGTGAGAAGAGGGAGACAGTTGAGGGGAGACGGGTGGGGGAGCTGGGAATGGGGGCAGAGAGAAGGAGAAGCATGTGTGGAACGGTGTCAGTCTATATAGAGCTCGGCGTGTCTGGATCTGGAGGAACTCCCTCTTCCTATTCCAATTGGCACCACGGGCTGTGTCTTCCTGTAAACGCCTGGCCAAATACCCAGACTGCTCCGTCAACGCTATCGATTTAGAAACACTGAATCAAAGAGGAGCTGCTGCTGCTGCTGCTGCTGCTGCTACATCAACATCAACATCTAACATTTCTGCCTCACGTTCAGCTGGGCCCAACATGAAGTCCTGGCCCAGTCCGGTTCCTGCTGCCGCCGACGTTAACGAATACAAAATGTTGTCTCTTCAACAATAAAACGATAACAATAATATTCAAACGTTCCTTTAAGGAAATACATCTACTTGAGGGTCAAAGGTCACTGTTAAAACCCAGAGGGTCAGTGAACACAACGTGGACCGACAGGAGACAGAGCCAGGGCTACAAACACAGATGGATTTATACTGTAATAATGAGGCCGGCTGTGATTGGCCGATGCCTCAGAACTGAAGAAAGTTCTTCAGAAACCCAGTCCAGTTCTCTTCTTCTTCTGAACCTGTTCTTCTAGTCCCAGACCACAGGGCTGCTCCAGAGTTGTTCCACTGGCAGGTACTGTAGGAAGCGCCCTCTGCTGGATTAAATGCCAAGGAGTCCAGTGTCTGTATACGAAGCCCACGCTGCGTCGTCGACTGATGTCATTTCCTGTACGAGGTTTTTACTGCAGCTTTAGAGACAAGGGTTTAAAAAAAAAAAAAAAAAACTGAAGTTTTACACTAAATTCTATCCACGTCGTCCATGTTGGTGTGTCTAGCCTCAGGTCGGGGTTTCCCACGCTGACTGTCAGGGGCGGATAAATCTGCAGTGATTTGCCCGCAGCGTCTACGTGTCCACGGCCGCACGCCTTTAATGTAAACACAGGTCGCCGCATGTGGATTCTGACGTGGGGACGGTCTGTCTGAGGTTCCACGATCCAGACTCATCGCCCTCCTCTGACCAGAACTGCACGCTCTGGGCATGTGGGGCAGACGGACGCCTCCGCCTTTGTGGTGGTTTTGACGCGCGGCGATCGTGTGATGTCTGCTGCCATTACCGTGCTCTGGGCCTGATGCACTCGGGCTGCTGAGTCGAAAGGGTCGCGTCCCGTTCACCCAGCCAGGACTAACCTACACAAACAGGAGCGCCAGCCAATCCCAACCCGACGCAGACACGGTCGCTCCCAATCCACAGCCGTCCAAGCGTAACTGCAGCACGCAGCCAAGACCACCACCACCACACACCCACCCACCACACACACCCTGATCCAAACCCGACCTCTGATATTTGATCCTGGAGCCTCCACAGCTCAGTGGAGAACTCCTGGTAATCAGACTGGAGGAGGAGGAGGACGAGGACGAGGACGAGGAGGAGGTGGCGGCTCTGACGCATATGACTCACAGGCGTCGATCAAACCGACAACCCATTTGTCCGTCGGTGGATTAAAGTCAGTCAGAACAAGAAACGGCTGAGCATCAGAACCAGCATCAGAACCAGAACCAGAACCAGAACCCTTCTAATGTCGACTCATAATTATCAGATAAAATGTCAAACAGTGTTTTGTTCTTTTTCAAAGATTCTCGTCACATAAATACCATCAAAGCAACATAAATCACTAATCTTTGATTTTTTTTCTTCTAATGTCGACAACAAAACTTTGTAGAAAAAAAACGGTTTGAATTTCTTATAATTCTGGATTTCTGTCACTGTTAAACTTTTCATTTGATAATTAGGTTGTTTTTTTTCATTAGAATTGATAACGAACCTCCAACGACCACTAATTACCAATATCTGGACTTGAATCCATCCAAACATCCATCCAAACATCCGCTGGATCCAACATTACCTCTACAGTCTTTTCAGCATCATGGGGGGGGGCTGGATCCAAGCAGTCATTGGGTGAGGGTGGGGTGACATCACAGCTGGAGAGGAGTGACCCATGTGATGATGATGTTGTTGTTGTTGTTGTTGTTGTTGTTGTTGTTGTTTTTCCTGGTGTTCTCAGGTGCAGCGTCACGTCATCAAACACACCTGGGTCGTGGACGTCCTCTCAGCTGTCTCCTCGCCCTCCGTCACGTCCAGTGTTTGAGGACGAGCAGACGCTGACGTGTCTGTGGAGCAGAGGACGGTAGACTATACACGTCAAGCCGTCTTATATACATTAGAGTCAAACAGTGAAGAGCAGAGGGCGAGAAACAGCTGCCGACTCTGGGACTGATCTGGTCCGTCAGCGAGAAAGACACGGAGGAGAGGAAACAGGACACAGTGATGAGGAACAGGGGCCAATAAGGGGGGAGGAGGGGGAGGAAGTGAAGGAGGTGAAAGATTACACACACACTCACGTATGTTAATACACTGAAATATCGTAATATTTCGATTCACGAAACCGTATCATTTCTACAGCACTGCATGGATTTTCATTCACAACAATTAACATGGAAATATTCATAGCGTTGGTTTGTTTTTGTCTTGCAGTTAAACCTTCAACCACTAGGTGATTGTACAGGGACTGCATATATTTGCAAAAATCCGAGACTTTGAGGCAAACAATCGTATTTTTTTCACCTGGTTTCTTGTCTTCTGACGTCCCGTCTGTCTGACGTCCTGTCCTCGTTGATCCATTAGTTATGTCTTCTTCAGGGCAAAGTTTTCCATTTTTCCAGGCGGAAACACTAAAACCATGAAATGGGTTCACTTCTCAGGCCTTCTCAGGATTACAAGAAAATAAGACACATGAGACCAATTCCTGGACAGTTATGGAATGCCTGGAATGTGTGTGTGTGTGTGTGTGTGTGTGTGTGTGTGTGCAGTCAGCTTGATTTAACAGAAGAGAACATGTCTCTAAATCGTTGCCTTCACCACAGGGTCCAGGATCTGAGGGAATATTCAGGAACTATTGTTGTAAAAAAAAGTTACTGCTGTGTTTCCTCCTCACCTCTACAGTCACGTCATGGCTTACCATCTATTTTCCTCTAAATAGAATCAGTTTTGTATGTCGACATAAGCACCAAAGATTTTTAATATAAATTTTTTTGTTAGGTTAAGCGGCCTCTAGTGTTGAGTATGGACATATAACTGGTGGTGTTCTAAGGTACTGCAGGGCAGTGGTGACATTTCTGGTTGATATTATGTCCTACATTTTTACACCTATTTAAACGAATATTCATTAATATTTGACGCTGAGTAAAATTAAAATATTTCAGTTATAACAGCAAAATATCAGGAAGCCCAGTCTTCATTCTTTGATATTTTTATAACGTAATGACATGTAAATAATACATACCTGTAATAAATTAACTCTACGTTATAAGTACAACTTGTTTACTAAATTGGCGCAGTTTCGCCTTTTTTTCTTTTTGATTTTCAACTGTTTTGACTCGTGTAGCCAATAACTGTTTGCTATTCTGTAAAAACGTTTTTAATATTTTGCTATTTTAAAAAGCTATATTTTTATTTGCTAAATGTTTGATGTTTTGTCTTTTTTTCTACGTTGTTTGCTACCGTGGTTAGCCGTTTAGCTGCTACTTGGCTAAATTGAAGTTGACTAGCTTTCCCAGAACTGCCGTTGACTTTTACTAAATTTAAAAAATGACATCAGTTTTCCCAACATTAAATGACCAGAGAACAAAAATAACCACAACATAAAAAAGACATACCTAATGAAATCCACAGAAGTTGTAATTGCTACAAAAAAAAAACGGTTCAACGACCCACTTACTGAAGCTGAGGAGAACCGCACCGATTAATTTAAGGCGAAATGGCTCCATCTAGTGGCTATTATTTAAAACGTCAACCTGACAAATTTTTGCATTTTGTCATTAAATAAATGTGATGATTAACTCTTCTGTTTTAATGTTTGGTACAGGGTTCAGGCTCCACGTCTGGAATCTCATCTGAATTTTCCATCTGGACTTTGGTCTCACAAACATCTGGACTCAGGGTGTGTGTACGACGACGCAAACACAGGAGTTCATTCATGGTTTACTGAGCATGAAGAACGAAGTGTGTGTGTGTGTGTAACTTCCCAGACTTGAGACTTTGTGCCAATGATTGGAAACACACACACACACACAGATCAGGCCACCCAGGTCTGAACCTCCCAGGACCAGCACCAGGACTTGAACCAGCAGCAGCAGCAGCAGCAGCAGCAACACCAGCAGCAGCAGCATCAACATTACATGGAGACAGTTGAATGTGAAGAGTTACTGAAACCTCAAACTGACTGACACACACACACACACATACATGGGGACGGAGGGAGGGGGGGGTTGAACTGTAGGACTTGAACCACTGACCTCCTTGAAGTAAGGCTGGAACACTAACTGCTGTAAAAAAAAAATCACATAAATGTTTTAATTGTTCTTGAGTAAATCAGATCAGGTAAAAACACCAACAGAATCAAGAAAAAATCTGGAAAACCAACACCAGCAGTTTTTACTGTGGAGGGAAAAAAAGTGCAAGATTTTTTTTTTTTTTAAAGAAATATTGCTGTTTTTATTGGCCACCGTTCAGGAAGTAAGTGATCTGATTGGGTAATAATTTACTGGACAGAGAAATTAGCTCCCGTCGTTGGCCAAAAGTCTTTCCTAAGTGGACTGCTGTGATTAATGTACTGCAGAGGAGCAGAGGAGCAAGTGTGGAGGTTTGGCCGGAGCGGAAAACTCCACCCTGGATCCAGCTCATAAAAACACAGAAGAAGAAGAAGAAGAAGAAGAAGAAATGAAGGAAGACAAAATGTCTCACCTCTTACAACAACATCAGCACAGATCCAGGTTCCAGGTTCCAGACTCCAGGTTCCAGACTCCAGGTTCCAGACTCCAGGTTCCAGACTCCAGACTCCCTCAGCCTGGTGGAGGCCTGTGGTGTTGCTTCAGCACAGAGGTGTAAATGTGTGCGGGGGGGCGACAGCAGAAACTCAGGCCCCCTGTGAGGGCAACAACAGCACTAACACATTAAATATCCATGCCCCCTGCTGGCTGGAGCTGCAGGCTGCCCTGAATCATTCAGGACCGCTCTCTCTCCCTGATGACACTCACAGAATATACAGCTGCAGGAATGTGCTGGAATCTCAATCTGCCATGTCAGCAACACAAAAAGAAAAAAAAAGAAAAAAGTCAGATTTGAAAAAAGAAAAAAAAAGAAAAAAGTCAGAGGACAGAGAAAAGGAAAAAGTAGCAGCGATTTTTTTTTTGGCACCTTGTTTGTCAGAGCAAAAGTTTTGTGCAGAAATGTAGACAACTTTCTTACAGGCAGATAAAAAGACAGCTGGGCAACAGAGCCATCTAGCGTCAGGCGTCAGTATTACACGACGTTGCCTATAAAAATCGGTTTCACTAAATGTAAAACATTATAATCGACTCAACGATTTCTTGTTGCCTTCTCTGAGTTTGATAGAAAAAGACACAACACAAACCTGGAAATCCCTTCCGTTCAAAAACTCAGACGCGGGCCACGGCTTTGGTCTAAATTCGCACTTTATTTCCTAACACTTACAGGTTTGTTTTGTCCCCGTTTTCCCCTGGCCCCCAAAACAACAGGCACACAGATAGCGATGAGTTAAGGGACAGTCGAGAACAGTTTCAAACCCAAAACAGTTTCCAACAAAATCAACTCAGACAGAGAGAGAGATAGAGAGAGAGAAAGAGAGAGAGAGAGAGAGTCTCCACGGTCAGAAAACAGCAAATAAACAGGTCGAGTCGTAAAGCTAACAGAGCAGTGTTTGTTTCACCGCCGTCACCACCGTCACATCAGCAGGTCACGTTAAAGAACACTTTCAAAAAGATGGGAGCGGTGCATCGTGGGTAAAAAAAAAAAAAAGGAGAGGGAAACGAAGGTGAGAAGAAACAGTGGAACTCTTTGGTTTTCACTATTGAGGTTTTTCTTTTTTCTCTTTAGCAGTAAAATCTATCTTTGCTGTCCTCGTAACCTTTGGATTTAAGCTGCATCGTAGAAAAAATAGAAATGAAACGGTTTCTTTTACACTTTCCAAATAAACCAAGAACGCGGGGCAAACGGAACCGATTTCTCTCTGTTGGGGTTTTTTTTTTTTTTCCGTTCCATCTGTCAGTAGGTAAAGTTTGAAAGGTTTTCTCTTCTCAAGGCCAAAAAATCAGGTCTTTTTACATTAAATGCTGACTTGAAAAGTGAGATGAACATTCACAGGCACAGAAAAAACTACAGTAACAACAGAAACATGAACCAACAGGTCAACAAAGAGGAACTGTCAACGGCCTGAAGTGCTTTTGTTATCTGACAGTATTTTAATACTAACGTCAGGCGCTGGAAATACTTCATTTTCATCGGTCCCTGACCAGGAACCTGAATGTTTTTATATACACATGAAACCACCGGGAGTGTAAACGTGTGCGTGTCGGTGGAGTCTGACCGTGGTGGGTTTAGCTTTGGTATCATTCTGAGGCCACCACCGCCGAGACCGACCACACTGACACACACACACACACACCGCATACACGTGCTGCACTGCTGTCAGAAAAATAAAATAAAAAATAAATAAAAATCATTCTTTTTGTCATGTCCACAGGAGTGGAATTAAAAAAAAATCCCTGTGTAGAAAAACTGGTCACTCGGCCTTAAAACGATAACATTAGGGCTCTTTGTTGCCCACGTGTGGTATGCGGAACGTAGGCTACATCTTGGCCAACGACGCAGTGACCCAAAATGATCTGGTCAAATCAATATAAAAAATAAATCCGGTACGATTTTAAAATCGTGAGTATTTTTTTTTTTTTTTTTGATTGGACATGGAAAAAGTTCATGGTGTAAAATGCTTGGGGGCGCTGTGGTCCACGGTTTTAGATGTAGCTCACATTTCAAACGTGGTCCAGTTGAGTTGTGGAAAACGATGCTAACAGTTTGCTAAGTGACCAGTTTTGCTAGTTGGGTAATATTAGCATTAGTGTTCATGAAGTAAACAAAACAAACAAATAAATAAATAAAACAATGAAACCTGTGGGCTGTTTTTTTTTTCTTTTTTCTTGCAGCAGTGTTGAGAACACACACGTTAGTCCACACAGTAAACAGAAGAAGACACTGTGTTTTATCTTTAGGTTAAAGCCATAAAAACGACTGGTTTGTGTTTGTTTCCTTTGTCAAACTAACTTTAGGGCCAGTTTTTCACGTCCCTCAGTCCTGAGTTCAGACAAGTCACGTCGTCTTTTTTTTGTTTGTTTTTTTTTTTTGTTTTGTTTGTTTCTAAAAGTCATTAAAGCTTGTGTATCTATTTGGTTTTCAGAGGTATGAGTTCAAATCCCTCGTCCTGGAGTGGAACAGAGGGGAGTCAGAAAGCTTTTTTAGAGAGCAGAGAAGGAGGAGGAGGAGGAGGAAAAGGATGAAGGAGTCGAGGAGGTTCAGAGAGTCGGAACTGTTTTCCTGTGACACAGACGTGCTACACTGAAGCCCCGCAGCTACAAATGACACGAACTAAATTAATAGTTTAGTTGAGTTTCTGTCAAAACATAATATCATGAAAACGTTACTTAGTCCAACACAAACACAGTAAAAAAACAACTTCTTTACAGCTAACAGTCGGCAGTTAGAAATGTTATATCTACATCGGCGTGTTAGCGCACCGTGCTAACGAAGATGCTACATATGAAATCAAAATATATTATTTAGGAGAAAACGTTTAGTTTACCATGTTTTTTTAAAGTTTGTGATTTGGACAGCATTTTGTTATTTTAAAAACCTGAAAACAAATTAAATAATAAGCAATACTGTATTGATAAATACCTTAATAAAACAGGAGTTCTTGGAGTTTGAATCGTCGATTAAAAAATAACTTCACTCTCCCCGTAAATTACTTTTCAAATTGATTTTATGTCTCCCCCTAGTGGCTGACTCCCGTTAAATCCTAAAGCATAGTCGTTTGTAACCTACAATTATGTCATGTTATTTATTAGTTTTTAAGCAGCAAATTGCTTTAACTCGCCTTTTTATATTTGGTAAACGATTAGCTTCTAATGCTAGGCTACGTAAGGCTACGTTAGCTCCTGAAATTAGCGCAAAAAACTAAAGATAAATCAAAGAAATGACCAGTTTAAAAAAAAAAATCTGTGTCACAGAAAAGTCAACAAGTTCCACCTCTGTTCCACCACTTTCTGCCATGTTTTTTTTTTTTAAAAGCTAACTGAATTAGCAACATTCGTCCCTCTGTCTCCAACTCCCCTCCGTCTCTGCGGACAACAGTCTTTAGGTTTGGTTTTGCTTTGAAACATTCGTTTGGCGTCTTCTCTTCTTGTCTGGAACAACTTAACTCTCTGCAGATACAAGACCCAAATATTACAAAACAAAAGACTTAAATAGAATCCAATAAATACATAAATAAGTGATATAATAAATAATAAACAAACATCATGGGAGACAGAGAGGTTTGTCGAACACGGAACAGGTCCAGTTCGAGTCCCGTCCCCAGAAAAACACACACACTCGCACACACACACACACACCTCCCGTATACAATAAATACAAATACTTTTAAAACCAACAAAGAGCCCGTGAGAGAATAAAAGAGTTTTAAAGCTTTTGGTTCTTCACCGTCTCCGGTCGTCAACATCATCATCATCATCATCATCATCATCGTCGTCGATAATCGTCGACTGTTTATACATCAGCAACAAGTAAGAGCAGTAGAACATATAGTATTTCCCCCCCTACAAAACCTATGAGAACTAATGGATACATTCCCTCTAAAAGTTAAACGTTAACAGGCTTTAGTTCGTCTCACACGTCTCCCCCTCCTCCCTCCAACTCTGTCCTCTCTCTCAGCCTGCACCTGTTGGACACCTCTGTCTTAGTGAATGAGCCTCCTGCTGGTCAGTGGTGGTACTGCACTCACTGGGTACTGCAATATTAGTTAGTTAAAAATGAGACATATTTTGATTAGTTCAAGTTTGTTTGTTTTTTCTATTGACTTGAATTTTTGTTATTGTTTTCTTTAAAAAAATGGTTAATTTTTATCAACTTTGCCTCTGTGTTTATACATGTTCTGGGACTTGCAGGGTTTTCACTTTGGAGGGAGGCCCACGACCTCAGTTTAGGTAACTGGCAATTAAGGATAAAGCTGTGCGTAGAGCGCCATCTGCTGGGGCCCTCAGTAACAACCTGAGATGAAAGTCAAACAGATTTAAAGTTGTGTCTGGAACAGGTCCAGGTTAGAAGTGAACAGAGTTCTTCTCTGTTCTACACTGATCTTCAGTAACGTCGAAAAACCGACGAGGGTTTGGTTTGAATCCCAAGAGAAATGACTTTGTACCAACACACGCGCTCTTACACACACACACACACTCGGGCTGAGCCACTCGTCCGTCTTTGTGCATGAGTTTGGTCGGTCTATTTGGTTTTGGTCGTTTGGTTGTTGGTTCCAGTCCTGGTTTTCGTATCAACTGAAACAGTCGCAGGAAAAGAAAAGAAAGCTACATTTTCACAGTTATGTCTAAAGGTTAAAACACAAAAGGACCCCCGCCCTACCTCCCCCGCTCCCTCCCACCCGCCGCGTAATAAGTAGAAAGCAATGAGACAAATCCATACATCGTTAACAGACACACTATGGAAAGCAAAAAGAAAAATATATATTTACTCTCAGAGTCAGTTCTTCTTTTTTTTTCTTGAGGTTCTTCCATATTTTTCTCCATCCAGGAACAAAAAGAAAGAAAGTGAGAACGAAGCCGAGGTGGGAGGGGAGGGAGGAGGGAGGCCAGGAATTCTGTCTGTCGATACAAGGACAGCAATCACAGTTAAAGACAGACGCACGGACAGACAGACAGGGCTTTACTCCCCCCTCCTCCTCCTCCTGCTCCCCCCCCCCACCTCCTCCCTCTTCTTTGTTTGTATTTGGTTTGGTTTCAGTTCAGTCGCTCACACGTCAGTACTAGCAGTAGAAGTAGCTTTTGGTTTTGGGTAACTTTTTGGTTTTTTTCCTTGCACCTCCTCCTCCTCCTCCTCCTCCTCCTCCTCCTCCTGCTGCTGCTCCTTCTTTTCTTTTCTTTTTTCTCTCTCCCTGCAGCTTTTCAAACCTTTGGCTCCTCTGCTCCTGACCACGTCTTTCACCTCCTGCTCTCCTCAT